CTAGAAGACACAAATTTGACTAACAAGTTATAAGTACATGAGTCCAAAAATTATGGAAAAGTAAAAGAAAAGATTCTTTCAGATTCCCCTTAGTAGAAGTGGTACATCATTTGCAGAAAGGAAATTTGCCTCTCCAAAATCAGTAAGATCAAAATGGACAGATTTCACAGGAGATACACACACACACACACACACACACACATACACACACACACACACACTTTCTACTACACAAATGACAAAATATGTGCATATTTACATAAAAATTATTTGACTAAAGAATACTATTTGTGTATTTTAGCTGTCCTGTTATATAATCCTGATTCTTTCATAATGAATTTTTAAAAAGATATTCTTAATGATAGTAAAAAACATGGTCTATCTATCCTACATGAATGGGCTCATTCTGAGAACACATCTGCTGGTTGAAATGCAAACCTTCTAAAATGCCTTTTTAAAGTTTCTGTCAAGATTCCACAGGTTTCTTTTTACAGACAAAAGGCTAAATCAAACCTGTCAGTCACTAGCTTCTTTTGAGGCCTCTTTTACTCTCTTATCATGGTACAAAGGATCCCTGAGACATGTTTTTGCTTTGATCGGTAGTGGGCTAATTTTCTCTGTTAAATTATATTTTTTTCCAGTAGGCCAAAATCAAATGAATCAATTTAATTGTCAGTAAAATTATTCTGTCAAGGTCACTTCTTTGCATGAAATAAAATTCAGGAAATGCTAATATGTGCAATTTCTCTTTAGTACTCTGAATTATGAAATAATGCTTGGATTGGTTAGCATAATAGTAGATCTTTGACTTAGATATCGGCCTACCAGAAATCAGAGATCTTCAGAGGCTTATATCTTTATGTGTGGCTGGGGTCGACAGTTTTCTCTACCATATCTACTCTCTGATTGAAGAGAATTTCTATACAGGTACTAGGCCACAAAAAATAGAGGCTAATTTTTGCCTTTAAAAAAAATAAATTAAACTTATAAGACTTTAAGTTAGACAATAACTTATAAGTTAGACTTCTAACTTATAAACTTAAAATTTAGACAATATAATTATATATTGACTTATAAGAGATAAGCAGAAACTTTTCTTTCTTCCTTCCTACTCTCTGGATATGAGTGTTAGCACTATCCTGGCCAATATGTACCACAAAGGAAATGGGAATGGCAGCTGTGTAAAGTAGAGTCGAAAAGGTAGGAGTATAAATCAATGAGAACACAGACCATTGTATCAACCCTGAATCACCTTATCTAATTTTCCATCAGAGAGAAAGGAGTTGTATTTTTCATAAACTGTGTATCGAGGGCAATTTTTTAGCTGAGCTAAATAAACTAACTCACATGGCTTCCATTTGAATATCTGATTATTTATTTCTCCCATCTTCAAAATCTAACATTTCTGGTCTCACATATGTATTGTTAAACATTTAGGAAATGTGGAAGAGCCATAAAAATATAAATTCATTTCCCAGTGACACCCATTGCCACCGAGAATTAAGTTTTCAGACTCTTTCTATACATGTGGTGACACACACAAGAAATAACACTCTTTTTTCACTAACAAGTGGTCAACACATGTTTATGAAAAAAATATATAAAGCTCATTCAGGATTTTAGTGTCTGTCTTTATTCTCATTTCAAAATGTATAACCATTAACTCATTACTAAAGATTCAGATATCCATACATCTTTCCCCTTACTGCACATAAAAATGCTTTCTTAAGCATCCTTGAATGTATGCCACTGAGCATCCTGTA